GTCCTGATGGCTTCACTGCTGAATTCTACAAGACATTTAGAGAGGAACTACTGCCACTACTGTTTAAAATCCTCAATGAAATTGAAAGGGAAGCTATACATCTGAATTCATTCCTGGAAGCAAGCATCACTTTGATCCCCCAAACAGAGAAAGACCCAACCATAAAAGAGACATATAGCCCAATTTCACTAATGAACATAGATGCAAAAAACCTTATTAAGATACTGGTAAATAGAATGCAGAAGATCATCAAGGAAATCACACACCCTGACCAAGAGGGATTCATCCTAGGGATGCAGGCATGGTTCAACATACACAAATTAATACATGTAATACACTGTATCAATAGACCCCTGGACAAAGACCATATGATCATCTCATTAGATGTGGAAAAAGCATTTGACAAAATCCAACATGCATTTATGATTAAAACCCTGACAAAAAATTGAAATAGATGATCTCTACCTAAATCTAATCAAAGCCATCTATGAAAAACCAACAGCCAATATCATACTAAATGGTCAAAAACTGAAATACTTCACACTAAAATCACAAGACAAGAATGTCCACTATCACCACTCCCATTCAATATAGTATTGGAAACATTAGCCACAGCAATTAGACAAGAGAAAGAAATAAAAGAACAAAAATAGGAAATGAAGAAGTCAAATTGTCATTATTTGCAGATGACACGATACTCTACATAGAAGACCAAGGAACTCCACCAAAAGTCTTCTAGATTTAATAACCAAATTCAATAAAGTAGCTGGATACAAGGTCAACACACAAAAATCAATAGCTTTCCTCTACACAAACAACAGATTCGCTGAGAGAGAAATAGGGCAAGAATTCCTTTCACAATAGCATCCAAAAAACTGAAATACCTAGAAATCAACCTAATGAAAAAAATCAAAGGCCCCGTCTCTGAAAAGTATAGCACTTTCAAAAGATATTGAAAATGGTATCAGAAAATGGAAAGACAACCTTTGCTCCTTGGTAGGAAGGATCAACATAGTGAAAATGCCCACAGTTCCAAAACTGCTATATAGATTCAATGCAATCCCAATTGAAATTCCAACAGCATACTTCATGAACCTTGAGAAAAGAATCTAAAAATTCATTTGGAACAAGAAGAGACCCAGAGTATCAAAAGCAATTCTAGGTAACAAAGACATGGCAGAGGGTATTACAACCCCCAACTTAAAAGTATACTACGAAATGTCAGGTAAAAGGGCTGAAGACCAAGACCAGACCAGGCCACAACAAGCCTTTATTAGGGGAATAGATCTGCCGGGCTGTCTCTGAACAAAGGAGAGACAAAAGCAATATGGCTGGGGCAGGGAGA